GGAGGGAGGGAGGGAGGGAGGGAGGGAGGGAAGTAATACAGGCAATATAGTTCTAAGTACAAGGGAGGCACGTGTGTCATAATTTATTAAAACTGGCAAAATGAACATACCAATAACCTATAAATCCTATAAAATGTTTATGTAATCCACTGAAAAGTAAGAAACACAGCAATAAAAAACAAAAACAGAAAGCAAAATGAAAATGGCAAGCTCAAGTCATGACAAAGAGTTACATTAAATGTAAATGAGTTAAACTCACTAATTAAACAGTAAAAGAGAACTAAAAAAACATGACCTAACTGTATGCAAAACATACTTCAAAGAGGACAACATAGGTAGAATGGAAATAAGAGAGAAATAAAGAAATTTGACAAGTCAGATAAAAACAGCAACCATTATAATTCCCTCAGTAGGAAACAATTTTGTCAATTATTAAAAACCAAATGTAAAATACTTAAATTTCCACGAAAGAAATCTCTAGGCCTGGTTTATTTCACTGGGCAATTCTACTACAACCATGAAAAAATATATATCAATGGCATTTTCTTTCAGAAAAATAAACAGAAGCGTTCCCGGTTCATTTTGTGAAGCTGAAATTACCCTGATAACAAGTATCATACAAAAATGGAAGAAAAAAAGAAAATGCCAAACAAATAGTTCTCATGAAAATAAAGCATCCAAATCCTTAACAAGTTATTGGCAAATAAAATTCACATCTAAATAAACAGTTACACATTGTAATCATATGGAACAAAGACATAAGGCTCTTACAAATATCTGAAAACCAATCAGTGTAATCTGCCACATTAAAAAGCTAGTAACTCGTGGCACACCTCTGTGATCCCAGCAGAGGCAAGAGGATCTCTGTGAGCTCAAGGCCAGCATGGTCTACAAAGTGAGTCCAGAACAAACAAGGCAACACAGAGAAACCCTGTCTCTCTCTCTCTCTCTCTCTTACACACACACACACACACACACACACACACAAGCTAGTACCTCAAATCCACCATGGTTGGTTTGGGAAGGTAATTCATTTCTCCTCAATGTTTGTTAGCACATAAATTTTGTGTGTGTGTGTGTGTGTGTGTGTTTATCTTATTGATTTATTACACTATTACTTTCTGAATTTCTTTCACTATTGTTATATTCTGCCTCCACAAGGTAATAATTTTTGCTACTCTACAAATCTCCTGGTCTAAAACTATGCTGAACATACAGTAGGCACTCCATAAATAACTTAGTGAATGAGAACTAGTGACAGAAAAACAGAGGACCAGAGGTAGGTTTGGGCTAAAAGAACAAGCTCTCAAATAATGATCTCACTGGAAGCCATAAGGAAAGTCTATGGCAGCATATATCTACTGGGGCCCAGGGACAGATCATCCAAATCCCACCCTGTGTCCTGAAACTCTTCTACAGCTTCATTATTCCTCCTATTCCATGAGTGTTATCTCTGTTCACTTCGACTTGCTCAAGGTCACTCGGCTGGAAAGGCACAGGCAAGAGAGGTCCATTACCTACCTATCTACAGACAACCTATTAGAGTTCCCCTGCATCAGCAGCACCAGCATGTGCTTTCAAAGACCTTCCCTAACTACTTCTTTATAAACACATGTATAAAAGATGGTGATTTCTTAATCATTCATGGAAAGTCAAGTACCTTGATTGCCGCCTGGTCATACTGTGCTGTGGTTCTCACCAGTTCATCCCTGGTTTTGTTCAAATTCTTTTCCTTTTCAATTAATTCCACTTTCGTTTTCTCCAGCTGTAGTTGTAACTCTTGAAATCTATTCACTTGATCTTTCATTTCCTTTTCTTGCCCTTGCAGGCGTAGTTCTAACTCATTCATCTTGCTTTTTAGGTCTTAAAGCACAAAAGAAAACCACATTCCAAAATGTACAGGCATACATATATTTACAAAATGTTCACAACTTATTTCTTTTACCTACTCTGAAATAACTGAGATACTATAATTTAAATACAGAAACTACCTAAATTGGACTTACAGCTTCAACAGTCAGCATCTCCACTGACATGTATATTTAAATGCCCCATAGAAAACAGAGAAATAGGTTTTCTTATGTCTTCACAGAGGAGCACAGGAAGAACATGCTTTGCAAGCAGCACCTTACTGTGGTGTAGAGCTTACCACAAGTAATGCCCTCTGTTGTAAAGGCACTACTGAACTTTATACTCTGGATGCTAACGTTTGCTTTATGCTTATAGCAACACTAGGCAGTGAAATGCTCACCTTACTACAGTGTCTAAGAGTTTTGCCTCCACTGAAGATCAAGACAATATGAACCTCCTACACTGCCAGTTAACACTGACATCGCTCCTTTTCCCTACACACACAGTAACAGCTCCAGTGACATTGGAGTGCAACATCTCATCAGCACACAGTGAGGATGGTTCTCAATATCTGCCACAACACTGGAAATTATCACAGTCCACAGAGCAGAGTCCAAAACACCACCTGGTATGGTTGGCTGTCAGCTTCAGCACAGTCCAGCAGCCAAGGTTACAGGTTTGCTCCCATATGGACAGCCTGGCAGGCAGGGCAGAGCTGCTCTGCAGATACATGCCACACCTCTGGCCAAGGCTGGTCAGGCCACAGGCTCACCCCAAGAGCCAGATGAGAAGCGTGAGGAATGCAAACTAGTACCCAGCCTTCTCACTCTGCTTTGAGGAGATAAAACAAAGCCTTTCAGACTACTTAAAGGCTCACCATGTTTTCAGTACAAACATATTCATTCCACCATGTCTTCTGTCATTACAGAAATGGCTACGTGATGTGAACTAACAACGTGTCTAACAAAATATAGAATACACAACTCAGATGGAAATTATCTAGGAAAAGCTTCATTTAAACTTAATTTACGTCAGAAAGTTACCTTGATTCTGTGCTTTGACCTGGTACAAAGCTTGAGAACTCTGAGGATCATCACAAAGGCTGCTACTGCTGCGGTCTCCTCTCCCCGTCCACAGACTTGATCTGTCAGGAGTCACTTCTTCTTCCCCCAAAGGGTAAGCAGCAAAGCCATCTCTCCTAAGTGGGGTTTTCAGAGAACTGGATGAAAGGCGACTGGGGGTCTTTTCCTGTTGCCAAGAAAATACTGAGGAGGAAGCCTGATGTCTTGCGATGTCCCGGTGATTCATGGTAGCTTGGTGAACAGGCAGGCTCACTTTCTGTAAAAGCAAAACCTCTTTACAGTCCTTCAAAATCTCAACTTTTTTGAAACTTATTTGTCTTTTTTCCCAATATTGGGGATCAAACCCTGGGCCCTGTGCATGCTCTATAAGCTCATTACTGCTGACCTCCATCCTCACATCTGGAAATCTCGATATTCAGGGCTATTTCTTTTCAGGAAGAGCGTAAAGCCACAATCCCATGGTGGTGATGCTTACACAGCATACTAATAATAAATGCTAGCCAGGTGTAGGACATCATAAATTCCAAGACTGAGGAGTGCAAATCCCTAACAGTCAGACTCCCAGCGAGGCAAGAACTACCACCTGAGATAATACCAACTCATAAGGGCTAAACCTTGGTGCTACTTACCATTATTCATCTTCATTTTAAATTCCAAAACTGGCTTTCCTTTGCCCATCTTTTCCTTCCCATGTTCCTTTACACTAAATACCAACCCATAGTACTGCCACTAATCTCACATTTCATACCCAGTTATCCCCCCAGAAACATCATGTGGATGTTTTATAATCAACACTTGCATGTAGCCTGTGCTCTGAGGTACTTTCTGCCTTCTTTCTGATGAACATTAAGACTTGAACATAGATGCCATAATTCTATAGCAAGCACTCTTCTCGCGACTGGAGAAGGTCAACAGTTACAGAAATTCACACCCCTTTTAGCATCATAAGCAATAGCAGGTGCAGAACTGGTACCAAAATGGTGAAGCTCGTGTCTCCAGGACGAGTTGGAGAATTTTACTTGTATTTATTTTAGTAAGCAGTGCCTTTGGTACAAAATTCTGGTGACCTCAAAAGAAGGTTTAAGGATGAATAAAGAAATAAGTATCTTTTGATCCTCAATATTTAGTTACGTACTTTGTGACATCTCACCAAATTTCTGTTTGGCAGAAATGTACGATTTAAAACGTACAGGTTTTAAATAAATATTGTTGCCTTTAACCAATCACCTCACCACTTCTCTGCTTACTGGCCCATACGAAAATGGAGTCTCTCTCTAGGGCACAGCACATTTGGTAGAGTGTGTGCCCAGCATGTGTGAAGTCCTTGATCCTATCCACAACACAGCATAAACCAAGTGTGTGACCCTGGCTCTCAGCAAATAAAGCTGAAGGTTCAAAAGTTCAAGGCAATCCTCAGCTAAGACAGGCTAAGGCAGGAGACTGTCTCAAAAACACAAAACAAACTAACCTAATGGCAACCACCTAAAAGAAACAGTGTACTATGTTGCCAACATTCTCCTCTAAAATGAGAATTTTACCAAGAACAAACCTCAAAACCCACAGTTCTGATAGCAATTGCATTACACCAGAGGAGTCAGCCAGCAAGCATCAAGAATAAGGAATAATTCCCTAGTCCTTCCCTCTCTAAACAGTCCTTATCTCAGTCTTGATAAGCAGATAAAATGGCTTTGGTTACTCCTGTGAACATTTAATATTTGTGGATAAAACTAAGCTTACCTAGAGTCTTTAGTTTTCATTTTAAGGTCTTAACTATGTATGTTCAGGATAGCTTGGAATTCCAGATCCTCCTGCCTCAGTCTCCTTGGTGCTGAGATCACAAGCATGTTCCATAATGCCCAGCTTTCTCCTAATTTTAATTTTATTTATTTGTGTAATAAGTGAGTACACAAATGTGTGTACTGCAGCACCTGTGTGCGGGTCAAAGAACAACTTTTGGGAGTCAGTTTCCTCCTTCCCCCATGGGGTTCCACGGATAAACCCAGGTAGTCAGGTTTCCAGCAAGTGCTTTCACTTGCTAAGCCATCTTGCTGGCCCCTATTTTTAAAAACAAACAAAAATAATCACCACCAAGGAGCCTGAAGTTTTTCTCAGGGTAAGAAAAACATGCCATCCCTAGATACGTATGGCAGATCACTCTTTTCATGCTACAGCAGAGGGTTTCTGTAAATGCATCTGCACGGACCACAATGAACTTACTTTAGCATGCAAAGCTTTAACCTCTGCCTCGAGTCTTTTCCGTTCTTCAACTTCTTTATTATATTTTTCTTTTAGATTTTCATACATGGAACCTAAACACAGACAATCAAATCAACTAATGACTTCATAAAAGAATTAAAACATCAGCAATGATTGTGCTAAGTCTTACAATAAGCATCTTAATATTTAATAAAACACTGTGGAGAAACACATCAAAATATTGGCCAAATTACTCATGAAAATATGAAAATAGAGGTATCTCCTATATTATAAAACTGAATTTCTTTTAAAACACACTATAGAAAGGTAAATAAGGGTTTAAGGGTTAATACTTACTCCTCATGGATCAACATAATTCAACAAACATGCAATTGGGAATGACATTTTTAAACACCAAATTAAAAGCTGAATAAAAATTTGAACTAATTCATTACTTTTGAAGAATTTAAAACTCAGAGTTGTTTATACCAAATAAAAATCTTTACAGCTACAATACTGACTTGGTGTGAGTGGAGCTGTAAAAAGTTTCTGTGGTGTACTGCAGGGATTCAGAGAAACATCTGCAGACTGTGCAGCTTGTTGGCTTTTTTCAAGTTCGGATTTACACCTGTTGAAAAAAACCCAAGAAACCAACAAAACAGATTAGAACAAAGGCTACAGAACACCAATGCCATACATTTCTGGAGAAAAAAAAAAAGAGTGGATGGAACTCAGCCTCTAAAAATCCTTTCAGCCAATAGACATTAGGTGGTTGACTAATTTTTAAGGCAGATGTAAAAGGTATTTCCCTGTCATCCAAATACTATGAAGACGTATGAAAAGCACTATAGCAGCAAAGAAGTGTGGAGGGTGGGGTACAATCCAAGCAAACTTCACATTCCCTCTCAGCCAAAGACAGACACAGAGAGAACCCAGGATGGGTGGAGAAGGCTCAGCTGTTAAGAGCACTATCTGCTCTTCTAGACGTCCTGAGTTCAATTCCCAGCACCTACATGGTGGCTCACAACTATCTATAATATGATCTGATGCCCTCTTCTGGTGCATAGGTATACATGCAGATAGAGCACTCATATACATAAAAATAAGTAAATAAATCTTCTATGACTGAGATGTAAATTGAATTAATAAAAAAAAAGAACACAGAACTTCAGAAACACAAGTCACGTGATATTCTTGAAACAAGTTCTAATCATGAAAACAGAGACATTACTTATGATAATCATTGCAAAACAAGAGACCTGAGGTGAGCAGGATGGTTCAGTATGTAAAAGCATTTGCCGCCAACCCAGACAAGACTACTTTGGTCTCTGGGACCCAAAGTGGAAAAAGAGAAATGACTACCAAAAGTTGTCCAGTGACCTCCACATGTGTACAAAACACACAAATAAATAAATGTGATAAAAAAATTAGAGACTTGATATATAGATATTATATGGCACTTTAAAAAGAGACACACAAAGTAACATAACACATCTAGAAAAGATCATGAGTAGAAAAGCTACCCATCCATACTAGGGGCTCTTTTGTTCCATCTAGACAGAAACTATAGGCCAACAAGCGCTGGTCTCTGACAGCTTTAGCTTCCCTGAGAACCTGGTAAAAACAAGGACTGACAAACGATGCCCTCTAGTGTTGGTTTTTCTGCAGCTGAGCCCTACAAGTTTTAACAATTACTAGCTACAAGTTAGGACTCCTCAACCTTTAGAGCCAAGTGTCTCAGCTGGGGGCCTAAAGCACTGAAGTCCATGTGAATGTTTTTCAGACAGTTACCGCTTAAGTTCTTGTTCAAGTTTTTCTATTTGTTTTTTGCATGAGCTCAGTTGACTTTCTTGAAAATTCACTTGTGACTCCTTAACTTGAAGTTCATGAGAAAGCTTCTGTTTTGTTTTCTCCAAATTTTCACATATTTCAATCAATCTTTGATTTTCCCTTTTCAGGTCTGCACCTTCTGTCTTTCCATCTTCAACCTAACCAAAAAAAAAAAAAAAAAAAAGTTTTGCTGTGTACTTACCAAGCACTACATATAAATCTGACTCTCACACTACCTTTCTGTGATACTGTAGTAATAAACCCACCCTGGGGCGGGGGTACTGATGCTTCATGAACATAACCTTAGGCATATAGATAGAAAATTCTATAAATTCTCATACTATATCATCTTTTAACAACCTTTCAAGAACTTGAAAATAAAGGGCTGGAGAGATGGCTCAGCAAATAAGAACAACTTACTGCTCTTTCAAATGACATGGGTTCAGTTCCCAGCACCCACATCACATGGCTCAAAACAGTCTGGAACTCCAGGTCTACGGCCTCTGAGGTCCTTTTCTGAGCCCTCAGACACTACACACATGTGGTACACATACAATCAGGCATATAATACATCACATACACATGAATATATTTTTGAAAAGGAATTTAAAAATAAACCTTGAACAATTCATTTCACTGAGAAAGCCAGTTATTTAAAAAAGTCAAAAGATCCTTCCCTCATAATTGTCTACTGCATAGTTGGCTAACAGGTATTTGTTTTTGTTTTTAAGAAGTATTATGTTTTCATTTAATACCCCTAAAGCTCGCTGTCAGACAGCTTCATTTAAACTGTAAAATATCGTAACAAAATCTCAATTCAGATCTGACACTAGACACTCAGCCTACTGCACAAGGCAAAGAAACCATTTACCAAACTAAGATAAAATGAAATTAAGCCCTAACTATCTACAGGTAGGTGCAATAAAGCCACAAATGAAGAAGATCAGAGGCAACTTCAAGTGTCTGAAGATATGATATCACCTAGAGACAACAAAATCCCCTTTCTACAAGAAAGTGAAATAAAGGTGAGATCACGCAAAAGGACACAGACTGCTTCAGAGAGTGGTACCTTCTGTTTTTGCTTCTGTAACGCAGCCTCAAGAGAGTCAAGCTGAAACTGCCTCTGCTGTTTTTCTTTCTTCAGTTTGTCCAGCTGTCCTTCAAGTTCTTGAATTTTCTGAAGAGCTCTTGTAGGGAGCCCTTCCTTCCATTCTTCCAATGCCCAGCTCATCCTGTCTTATTTTTAAAGCATTTAGAAGTAAGCTGAAAAAATAAAAGCAATAAAGGAAACTTAAAGAGTATAAAACGTTATTTGGTTTTCTCTTTGTTTATTCTTATTTTTCACTTTTAAGCTCTTATAAAGAGATACATATATATAAAATTTTTCCTGTAAGGTTTCCAGACAAAATAGATTCTACCCATACGAAAGAAATCATGACATTATTTTACAAATGTTCTTTCTTTTTCATATCATTATCACTCAAATTTATATCAGTGGTTCTTATCCTTCCTAATGCTGAAACCTTTAACACAGTTCCTCATGTTGTGGTGGTGATCCCAACCAAAATGTCACTGCTATTTCATAACTGTAAACTTTGCTACTGTTACAGATCATAATGTAAATATTTGATGTGCAAGACAATGGGTATGTGAGCCTGTGGAGGTCATGACACACAGGTTGAGAAGCACTTCTTTATATCCTCAGGGAAGCCTTTTCTGTCATTCCTAAACAGGCCATAGGTCCCTGTCAGTTTCTCACAAAACACCCAGCTCTTTCCAAGCTGTAGTGTTTGTTAAATGAATGCATGCATCAGTCCAGGGTGGATGCCAGGTTACTACCAGGACCATTCCCGAGGTGAGAAAGGCACTCTCCAGATGAAAAAGAATACAGACAGGGATTCAAAGGACATGTAAGCCCTACCACTGTCATTTAAATAACATAAGGCCTTGGGCAAATCATACAGGATCTTTCTATTTTGCTTTCCTCATTTATAAGAATAATGTTGACAACTTCCTCTAGCATCAGAATGGCATCTCCTGGAACATTTTTTTATATGTGTTAACTATCATGTCAGCTCCCTAAAACCTATTTCAGCTTACGAAACAAAGGAAGTGTGCATTATCTCTCTCTGAGTCACATCTGTATATTTATGATGAGAAAGTATCTAACTGTAAGTATCTTGAAAATATACTTTCAAGAATTAAAGAGAAACAAGGATTGTGGCTTGTTAGATATCAGCCCTTGAAAAGTTTTTGCTGACAGCGTCGTTGTTTTTCCCCAGATATCATTTCTCAGAATGAGAATTCCACACCCAATTTCCTCAAAGAAAAAAAAAATTGCTGAAATCAAAGGCCTCTTAACTACAAAAGTCAATTTACCCTGCTCTAAGAGATGACAGTCACGTAGCTTCCTTATTCAAAAGAGGACACTAGACCATAAAATCACACAGTAACTTAATTCAGCCAGCCACCGAAATCATTACATCACGATGCCACAGTCATGTACATCTTTCACTCCAGCACTTGGGAGGCAGAGGCAGGTGGATCTCTGAGTTTGAGGCCAGCCTGGTCTACAGAGTGAGTTCCAGGACAGCCAGCGCTACACAGAGAAGCCCTGTCTAGAAGAAGGGTAAAAGCCACAGCCAACAAAACAAAAAAAAAAAGAATAATCTAGAGATGAGATGCAAGGGAAACCAGTAGGGTGCTTTTCTAATACAAAACCTACAAATAGCCCAGCGTGGTGGCACACGTCTTTAACCCCAGCACCTGGGAGGCAGAGGCAGGCATACCTCTGAGAGTTCGAGGCTAGCCTGGTCTACAAAGCAAGTTCCTGGACAGCCAAGGATACACAGAGAAACCCCGACTCGAAAAACCAAAACCAAAACCAAACCAAACCAACCAAACCCTCCAAACAGCTAAGGCATTTGCTTGTAGTCACGCACATTATACATTTTGTATCTCCCTACAGTCCCGTATAAATACACCTCACGCCTGACTGCAATTAGCTGTCAGCCACCCAAACAGGGTCAGTGGAGCAGAAGTAGTGGAACTAGTAAATGGAAAAAGTAAGATTAAAGGGGCAGGGTCTGAGAGAAAGACCAAAGGTGACGCAAAGCCTCGGAGGTCAAGGTTCGAACGGGACTGCACCGAAGTCTTTGTGACCCAGGGCCGGTCGCCCGCGTCACGCCCCGAGGAGGTTCCTCAGAACGGCCCGCCTGCCTCCCGGCGCTAGCTCTCTCCCTCTGGCCGCTGGGCACACAGCACAGCCTGGATGCCGGCGACCCTAAGCCAAACGGGAAGGGAGCTCCGGAGAGCACCAGGGTCCCGGCGGGGCGCCGCGGGGGGGGACGCTGCTCACCTGCGCCCTGCAGAACCCGGCTCCGGGTCCGACAGCCCGGGCGCCTCACCGCCGAGCTCCTCACACGGCGTGCGGCTCCTCGCCGACGCGCACAGCGCGTTTCAAACTGCCCGCCGCCGCCGCCGCCCCTCTTTCCCTCGCTCACTTCCGGTCCCGCCCAGCCAGCCGCCACGCCTATTGGCCACTGCCAGCCGCTTCCAACCAATCCGCTCCCGCGCGCTCGGAGAGCCGCCTCTGATTGGCTCTTTTGGACGGCTATTTAAAAACAAACCGGGCCACCGCGGCGCCTGCGCAGACGTCCGGTGCGTGGCGTTGCCTAGAGACGGGCGCCCCACGCTCTGAGGGGCGGCGGCGGGTTTGAACAAGGTCTCTCTGTCCTGAGAGGCTGGGCCGGCTGAGGAGGCAGGAGACGGCCTGTGCTGCGGAGCATTCCAGGCCAGCCTAGTTTAGAGTTCTTGTCGGGAAAAAAAAAAAAATAAACTAATTAAATTAAATTAAAATAAATAACTGAGGCACATTATAACAGAAACAATCGGAAGTTGGATCTCGACGTGCATGACTGTTAACCCTCTCTGTCATCTCGTCCTATTTTCAAATTCTGAATATGAGATTTGAGGGGAACACTTGATCAGACTCAAATTTTCCCAAGACTCTTCAAAACTGAGTGTGCCCTTTCATGAAGCCCAGATTTTATATGTTTCTTTACCTATTAAAAATGAGCACCATAGCTGAGTGGGGGTGCGCACGTCTTTAATCCCAGCACTTGGGAGGCAGAGGCAGGAGCATCTCTGAGTTTGAGGCCAGCCTGCTCCACATAGTGAGTTACAAGACAGCCAAAGCTACACAGAGAAACCCTGTCTCTTAAAACCAAAAGGGGGGGCCCACCATTTAATGTTCTACTAGTGTGTATCAATTATACCTAATATTTTTCATTATGACATTTTCATACATGGGTATGTATGTCCCCTCTCAACCCAGTTCCTCTTTTCAGCTAGACTCACTCTGCGTGTGTGTGTGTGTGTGTGTGTGTGTGTGTGTGTGCATGTGTGTGTGCGCGTGTGACTGAATCTCATTATGGTTGCTGACAGAAGCATGAGTAAACAGGCTAGAGTTTGTTTACCGCAGCAAGGCACCTTTACCAGTGTCTACACAATACGGGAAAAATTTTTTTTTCTTCCCTTGACCTTTCTCAACCTTTATCTGTTAAGTCCTCAGGGATAGGTGAGGCAAGCCCTTCCCTCACAAATAAGCCTCTAAGTGCAGGAGCAAACTAGGAATTGTGAAGTTGATGAGTCGCCCTCAAAAAATTTCAAACTTTCTCTGCCCCTCTTATCTTTCATTTGACTATTGCTGCAGCTTAATCTGATTCTGCTTCCCCCTTTACTGAAATCGTGCTGACCCTTCAGTTCAAATGCAGCTTTCTTCAGAAAACCACAGTGCTGGCTAGTCTAACGTCAACTTGACACAAGTTAGAGTCCTCAGAGAGGAAGGAGCCTCAGTTGAGAAAATGCCTCCATAAGATCCTGCTGTAGGGAATTTCCTTAGTTATTGATGAGAGAGGGCCCGGTCCATAGTGGGTGGAACCATCCATAGGTTGGTGGTTCTGGGTTCTGTAAGGAAACAGGCTGAGCAAGTCATAAGGAGCAAGCCAGTGAGCAGCACCCCTCCACGGCCTCTGCATCGGCTCCTGCCTCCAGGCTCCTCTCTGCTTGAGTTCCTTGTCCTGACTTCCTTCAGTATTGAACAGTGATACGGAATTATAAGCCGAATAAACCCTTTCCCCCTGCAACTTACTTTGGTCATAGTGTTTTCTCACAGCAATAGTCACCCTGCCTAAGACAACCACCCAGTCACAACCACCCTGAGTGGTTTTCTAACTCTTTCTTAGAACTTGCTTCTATAATGTCACTTCTACGATTTTTGCTATGTCTTGGATTTTGTTCCCTCAGATCAGACCCAAAAGTTCCTTTAGAATAAAATCCAATTTTTCTTTGCTATCCCAGTTAAAACACCCTAGTGCCTTTGCACATAGTTTGTAAAGCAGATCATCTTTGGGAGAAAGCTACAGCCTTGGAGAAGGGCTGGTCTTCCACCTTTCTTGAGTCCTCAAGCAGAAGAAAGCAGCAAGAAGGAAAAACTGTGGGTGTTGGTGCCATTTGACTACTGTCTGTGCGTTGATGCCACTCAACTAGTGTCTGTGCGTTGATGCCATCTGACGAGTGTTCTTAGTTCTGGGGTTTGAACCCAGTTTGACTCCAACAGCAATCACTGTTCCACTGGTTCTCATGGTAATTATTCAGTGATTTATTATCCACCTTAGGAAACAGAAATAGAAAAACAATACTGGGTTTTTTAATTTTGAGTGCAAAATCTGTACACTCTACCCATTAATTAGCAGGTGGCTGTCTACTTACCACCGTATAGCCAAGCCTGTGCTTTATTATTATATTATAAACAGTTAAATTTCTATTCTTTTCTTGTACAAGAAAACTATGTAATGTACATTGTTCTAGAAATATGTCTTGTCTTTGGTTGTTTGGGTATTCGGGCTGCTGGAGGTTAAAAGATGATCCAGCCAACGAAGCAATATGTTCTCTGAAAGTCCCCTTTTGTCCTCTTGCTTTTCTCATAGTCCTCCCTCTCAGTGGTCCAGACCTCCATCTGTGGACCGTCTTTTTTTCTCCAGTCTGAACTGCAGCATTTGTCACCCAAACCAACTCCATGGCCCCCTGTTCTTTCAGTCTCCCCAATGTGTGCATTCCCCTGTCCATTTGTTCTCACCTTCCTTGGGGGAGTTGTTGATGCAGATGGGGACAGAAGTCCCAAGACTGTGGATACTCTTGTGTCGTACTACAAACCGAGCCTCCATATTA